GCTGTTTGTTCTGTCCATGTTTCCTGGCAATAAAATAAACAGTTGTCATTTCATGATACTTTACCATCTGTTCATTTTAATACTTAATCCATTGTTTTTAGGACTAATTAAATAAATATACAGTATACTGTATAATGCTACATGAGAAATAGAAGGCTTCAAATCGGTATCGGCCGATACTGCTTTCAGCACTCGGTAATTGGCCCAAAAAATCCTGATCAGAGCACGCTCTATTGAAAATGTTTTGTTAAAGTGTTGTGTTTTGTATTATATATATTTATATTAAGTGTACTTTAAATAAATATATAAACAAAAATGTAAAAAATGTGTATATATATTTTAAGTATAGGTTCAGGCAATGTTTAGGCACTGGAACCGTTTTAAAACTATCGATTTGGCACTGGAATCTTGAAATCCAAACGATACCCAACCCAACTTATGTGTGCCCTGAAGGGTAATATCAGACATTGACTGTCCTGGATTAAAATCCTTAAGGAAAATAATTGTTCTTGATTATGTCTAGAACCAGCGTGCTGCAATTAATATCTGATACCAATTCATTGGTATTAAAATTGGCCAAGAAAAGATAAACAAGTTAATTATTTACATTACACTGAAATGTTGATATTTTCCATTAGCAAATAAGTTCTATTTACACAAGTGCTGGGTCAAAAAGTCAACCGTAAGTATCTTTTCTGCTGTCCAGGCAATCCACTGCTGTTTGTCAGATATGATTCCGCTGGATGGAGAGACCTGGAGTGATGCCTGCACCAACAGATTCATCAGTCTAGCTCACCAGAAACTGGTCACTATTGTGGCAAAAGGTACTGTGTGAATGGATATGTGCGAATTTTTCTGATTTCTTTGAGTGTCACACACCAGGCTTGTATTTTTAATATCACACTCACTTGTCACCAAAACCCCATTTTGTGCTCTGTGTGTGTTTTCCCTTCATTTTTATTTCCTTCCTTAAACTCCTCCAGGACCAGTCCACAAGACGGAGCCTCTGCCAGTGAGACTGTTTGAGAGCAGCCTGATTGGGCCACTATCCAATATAGCTGAGCTGCTGGTCAGAGAGCAGCTGGCCTGCTTCAAAGAGGAGTGAGACTTGTCTGGAGTATCTTCCACAACTTGTATTTATAGTTTTGGATGAATGAGAAAAACACCAAATTTAAAATAGATTTTTCACCATTGAAGAAATAGTGGTTGGATTCTAATGTGGTACATGCACAACACCAATGATGGACCATGTGTGACGGCTGATATTGTAAATGATGTAGTATGAGCAATATCAAGCCTTCCCTAATTTTAATTCAGTATTTGTTTTGTTTACTTCTTTATTGTATCACATTGTCATCTTTATTCTTACAAGTTTTTCCTCACACTCTTTCCCTCCACCTCTTGGTGCCCCACCCTATCTCCTCAAATTCCTCCTTCCTAACTGCAGACTTAAGTCCAACGATGACAGTCCCCCTTGTGATGACTCTGCCACATGGGACCCTCCACTTGAGCATGATTCGGGCAAGGATGAAAAAACCTCCGGAGAGCAGACTGAGGAGCCCCTGGAATTTCAGCCTCAGCTGAAGCTTCCTGCTCAACTCAAAGACTTGAAAGTCAGAGTCAGCCATGTGAACTCACCAAGCAGCTTTTATGTCCATCTCACCCAGTATGACTCTCAGATCAAAAGGTTAGCAGCAAAACCAGGATTTAAAAATATTTTAAATAAAGCAAATATTGATACAGGAGAAATATTCCTCTTCCAGTCTATTATTTTTCTGTCATTTCATTAATGAACAATTCAACTATTGATTAATATTGTCAAGCTGTTCCAAGCTGTATTTGCTGTATTTGCTGGTTCCAGCTTCTTAAATGTGAATATTTGCTTATTCTCTTTTTCTACGTTGTTGTAAATGGAATGTTATATTTCTGCAGTGCTAGTAGGAAAAACAAGTAATCTGAGTGCGTCACCTTTAACTCTTTTTTGGGGGGGGGATTTGTATTTTTCTCAGTTTTCCTGACATTGTATGAACTGAAAAAATTATACCATTTTAAATTAACAAAATAATCTAACGTTAACCGATAATGAAAACTATCTTTAGTTGCTGCCTTACCTCTTATACCATGGCACACAGCTATACACTTCAAGCTAGGTTTGCTAGGTTATTTTAGTTTGCTAATGTTTGAACTGTACAAGCATGACAAGGCAATACTTTTTGAAAGGACAAATACAGGGTGCTCTCTGGGATAGCTTCAGGCACGATAGCCTAGGATATGATTAAATGCCTTCGGTTGTTTAGGGCATGAACATGAACAGCGAACATCCTGCAATTTTCACCAGCTACATAAATCTGTGTGAAGCAATTAAGGAAAGGATGTTGCAAGTATATAGTGTTAGTTCTGCTAATATCTTGCCATGTTTTTTTAGGGTATGTGAGCTGGTGAAGCAGGAGTGTGCAACTATGGAGCTCGCAGATGTGATGTGGAAGGCAGACATGTACTGTGCTGCTCACATTAATGGGGTTTGGGAAAGAGGACAGATCTGCTCCGACGTCACATCCAGCAACATAGCAGAGGTTAAAAAAAAAAAAAAAATGATGCTCCCAAAGAGCAGCCTGAAAGTAGTGGTAGTCTTCTATCACATCTTTTTACAGCCATTTTACTGCAACACAAGAAATTTTGAGTCAGTAAGTTGTGTCCTTGTTTAATTATGATGTGCTGGATAACGGTGGCTGTGTCTCCCTGTCTCTCTGCTGACTGGAATCAGGTGATGCGCTGTGACCATGGCAATACGGTGAAGCTCCACATCAACAACCTGCGGCCACTGCCGCCCTCCTTGAAGGGCACTCTGGCACTGGAGTGCACTCTCACTGACATCAGGTTACACACACACGCTTAGTCATGCACCAAGTCATGTACACAGCATGGATCCATCCATAAAATAGACACACACACACACACACACACACACACACTGGGGGTTCACTTTGTTTTGAACATTAGATTGCAATGATGTACTGTAAGTTACACTGTCCAACTATTCTCTTCATTTTAAAAGAATGTGATTTAAATGCTTTAGTGGTGCTGAAATAGTAGGTATTTATTGTGTGTAAAGTTTTTAATCAGATAATATGCTTCACAGTGGTTGTGGAGGCAGAGTTTCATACATGGAGTTTGTGTCTCCCTTTTCTTATGACAGCTGCTTTACAATTTTAGTATTTTGTTTTGGGTGAAATGTGTATTATGCGGTTTACATTTCTTTCTCAGTGTTTGATATCACTTTTTCTTCTTTTTCTCTTTTAGGCCAGCAGGGGGCCGATCCACCTGGACGGCTACAGCCTGCGACCTATTCTCCTTCTACCTGACCGGAGCCTCGGCTGTTATGACCATCAAGGTCTCTCTTCCCTTTATTCTCCTCATGCCCCCACTTCTACTCAAGTTTGTTTTCATTATCTACATACAGTAGTTTATAAAGATTAATCATTTCGTCAAGTCAATACCTTCAATGGTGCTCCGCCGTTTTTTTTAGTTACTTTGCTCTTCACTATGTATGCTACTTCTTTTTCTTTGTTGCTGTAATGACCTAGTTTAAGAGTGTGTATATCCCTCTCCTCTGTTGTTCAGGAGTTGACAGATGAGCGTCCTGTACCCGTTACTTTGTTATGTTCCAACAAGATAGGACAGTTAATCAGCATTGCAGACTTTTTGGCCAGTGAGGGCCTCGCTCTCAGAGAAAGAAAACCAAGGTCTGTGTGTGCATGCGTGCCTCATGCATGGAGGTGTATGTGTGTGATTATTATGACGTACAGATCTTAAAGTGGTCATATTATGCTCATTTTCAGGTTCATATTATTTACGGGTTGTACTCGGTTTACATGCTTAGAATTTTTTTCCATATTTAATGTTCTCTTTTCACTCTGTGTCTTGAACACTTCGTCTTAGCTACGGAGTGATGCATCTCACTTCTACAAGAACTTTGTTGGGAGTTGCACATGCACAGTTCCTAGTTAAGGACTACTAGCCAATCAGAAGCAGAGTAGGGTGGGCCCTGAAAAGCCGGTAAACAAGGCTTCGGTCCAGCTGTATATGTTCCCCTTACCAGCTTAGCAACATGGACTAGAGCAAGAGTTTCAGAGTGGTGAGTTCTTAATCTGTAACAAATGTGTCTTTGATCCATAAAGTGAGCTCTGTCTCTACATCACAGTAACAACTTTATGTTTGAATTAACCCTGCAAGCTGTTGCATTATCTATCTGTATTTTATATTGATGTTTTTACCTTGCTTTTATGATTGTAACTGTTTCACTTTGAGATTTGCTTCAAATGTAAAGTGCATTACAAATAAAATGTATTATTATTTTCAGAGCAGTGTTTTCGGTGGGAGGTGGGAACTCCATTTGGGGTGGACTTTGGGTTTTTTCACTTTGCATACCTATTACATGCACAAAAAATATACATAACTCCATAAAGAGAAAAAGCCAAAAGCATAATATGACCTCTTTAAAGAACTATGCAACCTTTTCTTTTTCTTGTCTATATGTCTTTTTGAGTATCTTTCTTTCTGGTAAACATTTCTACACATAAGAATCTCTGAATAAAGACAAAAAATACAGATGCAAGAACAATTTTGACAATCTTATTAGCAACTATTTACTATTGGACTGTTATTGTCAACTGCTTCAGTGGTCACAAGGGTCTGATTTGTATGAGATTTTCTAACCTTGTTACTATATTTTTAACGGCCAGTTGCCACTTTGTCTCAGCAGTCAGTGGCCACTGTCTGTCTAATGTTAGACCTGTGTCTTTCTGTCGCCTTGCAGAGATGCTGTCGTTCAAAAACCCAAAGAAGCTGATGCACAGTCTCCAGTGAGCGGGACACAAACTGATGTCTCTGATTGCCAGAAGAAAGACACTCACCCAGCTTCTTCACCCATTTCTCCCCCTCCCCCCATCTCTGTCGTCTCCACTCCCACCATTCCAAAACCAGCCCCCCGCACCATTATGTCTGCTGAGAAGGTGATCACACACACAAACACTCTCTGGGCAGGAAACCATTTCTGTCCAGGTGGATCCATGCAAACACAATAATATGTAAAAGAATCAGCCACTTAGCTAAATGCTGATACTGCAATACGTTGTCTCTAAGTTCAGAGCAAATTTCAGTAACAGTGCTCCAATAGTCATCAGCAAGTATTCATTGTAAATAGTTTGAATGGAGGTCGCTATAAAGGCCAATCAGAAGAGCGGATCAGATGATGCAGTACCACTGAGGTATGTTAACGGCCAGCAACATATTTTAAGAACCGAGAGATGTTAAGTGGTATTAAATTAGAAGCTGCTGACATGGTAGATATTTTACAAGCACGGACCGGGTAAAGTAACAGTGAACACATCTGTGCCACGTTGGTCTTGATCGCTTCGATAGGCTACATCATTAACCAAGCGTAGGCTGTCATGGTTTAAGTCAGAGATTCCCAAAGTGTGGTGCTGCCTCTAGGGAGTGTGCAACAGGAAAATGTAATGGTGGACAACAGTTATTTTTGTAGAACTTTTCTTGAAATTAAAACTTGAATTGAAAACTTTCCTTTGTAAATTTAATTAAAAACAAACAAAAAATTTAAACATTATTATTAATAGTTAGCTCACAGGTAATTGCTACTCACACACCTCTTTCCCTCTCTCTCCCTCCCCTCCCTCTCTTTCAGGCTGCGATTTGTGAGAAAACCGCGGAGGAATGTTTCATGTTGTTTAAAATAGATAAAATAAATTAAACAAATAAATAATGCTACACAATAAATAGAAGGTGTCAAATACAGTATCAGTCAATACTGCTTCCAGCAGTCGGTGGTCGTGTGTGTGCTTTAGCTAAAAGAAATGCCTATATCACAAATACTGTAATACCTGTGAACTGTCCAGACCTCTTAATTCACCCTGAAGAGGTCTACTCACTGTCCCCGGAGTCAAAACTAAATTAAAAAAGAAGCCTTTAGTTTTTATGCAGCACATAACTGGAATAAACTCCCAGAAAACTTGATGTCTGCTCCAACTCTCAATTCTTTTAAATCAAGGCTTTAAATCTTATTTATGTCTTTTTATATTATATCCTAATGCCTAATGTCTTATTTAAAGCACTTTGAATTGCGTTGTTTTTGTTGTTGAAAGGTGCTTTACAAATAAACTTGCATTGCCTTGTAAAAGATGGGCATGTGAGGGGACTTTGTGAAAGAGAATTTCTTTCAAAATCTACGTTATATAACTAAAACATATGGAAAAGTGTATATTAATAAAAAAAACTGCCCAAGCAATTATAATTCCTAGTTGTTGGTTAAAATCTGTGTGTTTGTGTGTGTAAAGGTGAAGACTAAGTTGTACAACCCCCCAGAGCTGCCATTCCTCGGTCACATCAAGATAAGTGTGTCTGCTATCGGAGAGGACGGACTCATTTATGCCAGAACACAGAATGCAGGTTCACATATGAGCACTTATTTTTTTGCAGTACATACTTGATCTTTATTATAGAAATATACATTTTTTGTATTTGATGTGTGTCTGCTCTAAAATCAGTGTCAGTCAGTTCCCTTTTTATTATCATGATTGGTGTTTTGGTTTAGAAAGGAAAATGGCAGATGAAACTAGGATCAAAATAAATGTTTGCTGTGTGTCAAGATTATCAGCTGGAGCAGCTTAAGAAGAGGATTCAACAGAGCATGAAGACATTGCCCAAACAGAAGCCCTACACCTGGAAGTCAGTCCTCGGCTGTGCAGTTATTGGACCTGACATGTTGTGGTATCGAGGACAGCTGCTTGAGGTGCTGGGAGGACATGTCAAGGTTAGAAAGACACACAAAATCCCTCCTTTGTAATTTTGGAGAGTCACAAGAAAGTTAAAGTAAATTCACCAACAAATAACGCTGCTCTATTAAACTCGTGAATAAACACAAGCAGTCATTACTACAGATGTATGAACCCCAAGTTAACATTTTGTTGTGATTTAATTGCAATAAACGGATCAAACTGATGCCAAAATTACTACAATGATGCTGATTTGTTAAATAAATGAATTCATGCTTTGTCAGGTCTGTTAGCAAGACTGCAGAACAACAACTTCTATGAGTTCGGATCGATCAGGGCTATGCTATACTAACTTGTTCACAGTAAAGTACAGTGATAGCTGAAATAAAGTTACAGACACTTATTTTCTGAACTCACCAGGTAGTTCAACTTCCTCGCTTTCTTTTCTCCAAGCAATATCCAGTTTTGTCCGTTTTGTATATAAATATGAAGTAAAGGTCCAACAGAGCTCTGGGTGCCAGCTGACGCTAACTGGAACCGGATATGCACGGAACCTAGCTGCAATGAAGCTCGAGTGAAAGTAAATCAGTGTTATTATCCCAAAATCTAAAGTAAAAAGCTAATTTAATAAAAGCAGGTTACTCCGAGCTCCTCCTGCGAGTTAACGACGTAGTTGGCAGAGCAAAATCCAGACCAACTTTGGGTGTTTTATTTCCGGATAATCTCAACGCTGATAGGCTATCGCGAGTCTGCCTCAAGCGACTTTCTCGCTCAGTTGAAAATTTTCAACCCAAGCGAAGGCCTTCGCGTCTCTCCGCCTCTTTGCATTGACTTTGTATGTAAACACACCGCCCACAACGCTCACTTTCCTTTTTATCTGAAAGCATCATAAGTTCAGACTGCAGGCTTTAATGCTCAATTACGATTATTTTCCCAGATCCGATTTTTTTGTTTGACAGTTCACATTATTGCTTAAATGTGGCCCATGTCACACTCCAGTGTGAATTGTCCACATACTTGACCATACTTGCTAACCCTCCCAACCCTTCAATTTTATGACAACTTCCTGTCCTTTACATTACAGTTTCTGCCACTGTACAAAGCATCAGCCCAAATCATTAGTTTATTTCTCTCTCACTCTCCTGTGTCCGCACGGACAAGTTCCATGCACCTAACTCAGAAAAGAGATTGCGATCCGGTGGATTTTAGGTGGAAGAAAGGGAATTTGTGGGCAGATGATTGCAAGGTAGAGAAGAAAGAGAGCCACGTGTTTAATTGTGGCATTTGTGGAGCTTTTTCGTTCACTTCAGCTCCGTCTACAGCAGGACAGCTGCTCTAGAGTGATGTCAAAGACGCATCAATTCCCATCCGAGTGTTCAGACTTGACACCTGGGTGACTTTGGTCTGCAGTCTGAATGTAGCCTAACAGATGTTGTCACCTAACACAGTATATGCTAAACTACTGTCAGGAGAAGGATGAGTGCAATGGCAGGTATAAGAGGTGTGGACCCAAATGCACAATACTCCACGCACACAGAAGCTGGCAGGGCAATTAAACACAGGGGTAACACATGAGCAGTTAAACAACAGGAAACAAAGCTAGACAAGCACGCAAGAGAACTGAACACTACAAAATAAAACAGGAAGTAAAGCTGATGGCAACACACAAGGACAGAGTTACCAAAGTAAAACGGGGAACAAGGGCAGGGAACAAAGACAGGACCAAACAGGACTACACTTACATGGAGACATATGACTAAGGACTAAGACACAGACACAAGGAGAGAACAGACAGGGCACAGTGATCACAGGGGGAGCAGACAGAAATTAACTACAACCAAATAGAGAAACAGACAGAGATTATGATGAAACAGAACACAAGGTAGACAAGACAATGGGTAGCTTTGTGGAGGAGCTAGACACACTGCTGTTTTCAATCCCAGAGCATGACTGTTCCCTACTTGTCCTCGTTGACATGAACATTCACTTAGACAATTCAAACTCAGCAGACTTCCTGTCTCTGATTCAGTCCTTTGATCTAACACAGGTTCTCAGCCCCCCAACCCACAAAGCTGGCAAGGTGCTTGACCTCGTTCTTGTCCGAAACTGTGCCACAGAGTGCCTAACTGTCACACCTTTACATGTGTCTGACCACTATTTCATTCAGTTCACGGTATGCCTACAGGAAAAGCCTATTCTTCCAACACCATTGGTTTCACACCGCCGCAACCTCTGCAACCTATCTCACTTTGCCTCAGTGGTAGCTTCCGCTCTACCCACCCTCAACACATTTTCCTCACTTGAGGTCAATGATGCCACACAATCTCTGTGCTCTACACTAAGCTCGTGCCTGGATAGCCTGTGTCCTCTGTCCACCAAGCCTGCTCGCCCAAACCAGCCCCACCCGTGGCTAACTGATACCATCTGTGGGCTCCGTACTGATCTCAGAGCGGCTGAAAGAAAATGATGAAAAACCCCGCCGACCTTAAGGGCTATCAATTGCTCCTATCCTCCTTCTCAACATGCATCAGTGCTGCCAAAACTGCGTTCTATAATGACAGAATAAGCAGTGCCACTGACTCAAGGAAATTATTTTCCACTTTTAAAGCCTCCTCCACCACCCACAAACTTGTCTGCTGATACCTTTGCTGCCTTCTTCACAGGCAAAGTGGAGGCTATCTAGCCAATTCTTTGAAACACTCAAACTCAACCATTGTAGCAGTCCTACTACATTTTTTCTCCTGCCCTTTCAGGTCAGTGGTTGTTCACTCTCCTCGTTTACTCCTCACAGAGAGCGAAGTATCAGAACTCTTGACCCGTAGCCGTCCAACTACATGCCCACTGGACCCGATTCCTACGAATCTCCTCTAAGCCGTATCTCCTACTGTGGTCCCGACAATCACTCGTGATAAATACTTCTCTGGCTTCAGGAACCTTCCCGACCACTTTCAAAAGGGCTCAGGTTAACACCCTTGCTCAAAAAGCCCTCACTTGACCCAACTCAAGTTGAGAACTATCGACCAGTGTCTCTTCTACCTTTTTTATCCAAAACTATTGAACGGGCTGTATTCAAACAGGTCTCAGAATTCCTCTCAGGGAATGACCTCCTAGATCCATATCAGTCTGGTTTAAGAGTGCCCACTCTACTGAAACGGCTCTTCTGTCTGTAACAGAAGCCCTAAGGTCAGCTAAAGCTGCAGCCCAATCCTCAGTTCTTATCCTGCTTGACCTATCAGCTGCCTTTGACACAGTCAACCACAGGATCTGCTATCCGCTCTCTCAGCAATGGGCATCTCGAGTAAAGCACTCCTGTGGTTCGAATCCTACCTCTCGGGGTGTTCCTACAATGTTTTGTGGCAAGGACAATTATCCTCCTCCCACTGCCTCTCCACAGGGGTGCCCCAAGGCTCAGTGCTTGGGCCTCTTCTCTTCTCAATTTACACCACCTCACTGGGGTCGATCATTCGCTCGCACAGCTTCTCTTACCACTGCTACGCAGACGACACGCAACTCTACCTATCCTTCCCGCCAGGCGATCCCACTGTCTCGGCGCGGATCACGGACTGTCTATCAGACATATCTGCATGGATGAAGGCTTGCCACCTTCAACTAAACCTCTCTAAGACTGAACTCTTGGTCATTCCAGCCAAGCATTCTATCCACCATAACATCAAACTACAAATTGACCGCAACCATCACTCCAACCAAGGTGGTGAGAAACTTGGGTGTCATGATTGATGACCAGCTGTCCTTTTCAGACCATGTTGCTACTGTCTCTCCATCATGCCGCTTTGCTCTATACAACATAAGGAAAATCAGGCCCTACCTCACTCAGTACGCCACCCAGCTTCTGGTACAGGCCATGGTTATCTCTCGCATCGACTATTGCAATGCCCTCCTAGCAGGTCTCCCAGCTTGTGCGGTGAAACCCTTACAAATGGTTCAGAACGCAGCAGCGCGTCTGGTTTTTGATCAGCCCAAAAGGACTCATGTCACTCCATTACTCAGTGACCTCCACTGGCTCCCCGTGGCCTCCAGAATCAAATTCAAGTCACTAATGCTTGCATACAGAGTGACTACTGGGTCTGCACCCATCTACCTAAACTCCATAATACAAACTTACGTTCCTTCTCGGCCGCTACGCTCCTCCAACGAACGCCGCCTGGCTCTGCCATCCCTTCACACAAAGCAATCCCAGTCCCGGCTATTCTCATCTGTGACACCACGATGGTGGAACGAGCTACCACACGCCATCAGAGCAGGGGCGTCCCTCTCTCCCTAACTTCAAGAAGCTCTTGAAAACTCATCTCTTCCGAGAACACTTCCTCTTATAACGCCTCTAACTCCTTACCTCTAACATGCACTTCCTGTGCTCTTCTTCTTCTATCCCCTACAATGATCTTGTATTGATTGCACTTTTTGTTAACTCTTACTTCCTTCCTAGGTATCGACCCCATTGATGTGATATGTACTGTGAGCTCTTACTAGTATTTATTGCTGCTCTTACTAGTATGTATTGTCAGTTGTAGATCTGTAGTTGATGCTCTGTTGATGCTTGTATGTTGTTCCTCAAATGTAAGTCGCTTTGGATAAAAGCGTCTGCCAAATGAGTAAATGTAAATGTAAGACAAAAATAATAAAACACAGAAGTACACAGACCAGAAATAACACTAAACCTGAACTAAAGCACAGAACTAAGAACTAAGGCTACAAGGAAAAACACAAAACCATAAACCAAAATCAGACCTAAACAGGAAAACAATGGTACCAAACCAAATTCTTAACAACTACATATGAATGAATCAAATTAAACGCTTTCCTTGCTAGTACAGTGATATATCACTAATGTCTTTTTTGGTAATGTTCGTGTGTGTGTTTTGTGTGTTACTAGGTACAATATGTGGATTACGGCTTGGTGGAAAACATCCCAGTGGTCCATGTGTACCCCATGCTATTGTGTGATGATGTTCCTCAGCTGTGTATGCCCTGCCAGCTGCACGGTATCATCCCTGTAAGTGTGTGTGTCAGTATGAGATATATAAAAATCTACTCAAAGGTCCACTTACTAGCATTTGATAGCTGTCTTCTTCAGTGAATGGAGCTGAAGCTCTAAAATGTATGATATTCTTTAAATATACATCTTAGATAGAAATAGTTATGTATGTTTTATTGCACAATGTATTGTAATTAATTTATATTTTTAACCTCTAATTATATATAATAATAATATAATATTATAATTAAATGATCAAAATCAGTCACTAAAAATGTCTAGTATTATTCCAGACTCTACACTCTGTCATACTTAACTGCCATGGATGTCATAGTTAACCCTTTTCACATGTTTCTCTTCACCTTCTCTCAATTTATTTTTCTGTTTGTCTTTAGGTTGGTGGAAAGTGGCAGCGAGATGCGGTGGCCTTGCTGAGGGAGATGTTGGTGAACCGCTGTGTGGACATGCAAGTCACGGTACACTCCTGAATGAATATACTGTACTAATGTAACTAATGTAAATCTGGGGATGTTGACTATAATCATGTTATCCATGGTCGATGCTACAGTACTGAATAGAAGCTTTAGTACTCTGCTACTCGACTGGTAAAGTTGTTTACCCCTAGTTTGTATTTATGTGTGTGTGTGGTAGGAGCTGCCGACTGACCCGAGGGGCCCCATCACAGTTGACCTCTTCCTGGACGGGCTGAGCCTCAGCAGGATCCTGTGTCACCACGAACATGCCTCCATGGACCGGACTGTCTTAGAACAGAAGGTCTGCGTTGGTTTCGGTTTTCCTATATGAAGCAGTGCTGCATTAATTCACTCAGGAATGTCTGTGTTTCTCTGCAGGGACACTCAGCGATGCCTCCTGCCCTCCGCCTGGATGAGTGGGACCTCGACACTGAGGTATTGCAGTTAGAATGAAGATTGGCCGACTATTACTTATACTTACTTATACTAATACAGGCAATAACAACTTTGAATGTTATGCTCTAGGTCCTTCTGACTTAATGGCCAAACATCACTTTTTGACAAAGATTGCAGTGTTTCCCCTAGGATGGAGTTGTAGCAGCGGAGGTGAAGCAAAATTTTTGTCTGAATATAAAACCCCAACACAACATGTCTCAGCAACATTGCTCTTGTTGTGTCCATGAGTATGCGATACACATTAGAATAGCTAAAAATTCATTGTTTTCCCAGTTTAATGTGAGCTTTAGATGAATGTTTTGGTGGTGGTTGGGGAAGTGGGGGGGTTTTGGGGTCCTCCCCCAAGAAAACCTTACGTTTTCCAATGAAAAATATGTAATTTCACATCACATTCGGCCATTATTTTCACCATATCTCTGAACAAAGAGTTGGAAAAGCTAGAGCAGATAATGAAGATCAGTCTACTGGGGAGGAACTACAACCTTTAGATTTTGGTAATTTGAGTAATTTGGTTGGTTATGATGCTCTCCAGAGTGATTTAACATTGATGGCACAGCATGTTTTGGGTATCACCCCCTGAGCCTTAATGACAGGAAAACCCTGTTAATATGACCTCAGAATCATTATAGGTCTACATTTTACAGCTTTTGACATAATATAAAAAAACATGAGAAACATCCTCCCTTCTGAGGTGCATTTTATTTGCACATTAAAATCAAAAAACAAACGTCTCCTCATAACCTTAAAAGGACTAGTTTGATCCACTAATTAGCTTTACTAAACTCAGGTCCTCTACAGTCACCACCGTACTTTCTTTTCCTAACAACCACATTTTCAGACTCATCTGAAAACGGGAAAATAATTTAATCAGTCTGTACAGGACAGAGCTGTAGGCTACGCCGGTTTACTCTCTGTTTGTACGTGATGTTCTCAACATTGGATAAGTAGGTAGTAAAAAAATACAGCTACCGGTTACTTTCTATTGAGCTAATGGTAAGTTACATAGTAGCCAGAAGACAGCCTACTGTAGAAGCTTTCCTGCTCAGCTGCACAGTCTGAAGGGGAGGGGAGAGGTTAGCTAGCGCAAACAGGCTTCACTTTTCCAGCAGTTGGGGAAACAACAGACACAGTACATTTACTACCAGAATATTTTCCTCTGCTCGCATTCACCGTCACTTTCTGCTTGTATAGAACGATGAGAGGAAGCTAGCCAAGCATTGAGTGTTGCTGTGCTCGCACAGTGTGCAGTTGAAAACATTTGTAAGAGCATAGTTTAATGATCGTGGGAAATTTTAGTAGCGGCGGCACGCCGCTCCTGAATGTATATAGGGGAAACACTGCATTGTTTTGGTTTCCTTTTTTATACAACATCAGACTGGTCGGTAAACGTAAGTCTAAAAGCAGTTTGGCCATTGGTTTTGCTAAAAGGACATTTAAAGAGGTTAAAAATTCAAATGTCAAAAATATTTGGATAACTTTGCTGCAGGTGAAAGTATTTTAAAGTCCCCAGGCTGAAACATTTCAGGTTATGAGTATTGACATACACATAAAACAGGGTGATGAAATGTAAGACTGATGCAGATGCTGTGTCTCCAGGGTCTGAGGGGCCCAGAGGAGCCGATGCTGGGGCCCTATATCTTCCCAAACCTACCACAGGAGGGAGAGCACTTTAAAGTCAGAGTCAAGCACTTGTGGACCCCCAACGAGGTAACTACTAACCACACAGATTACTATTATATATCTATTAAAATAATTCTGAGTTTAATAAACAGGGTGCCCGTGGGGTCTTTAAAGTATTAAAGTCTTAAATTTAATATTCTAAAATTAAGGCCTTAAAAGTATTCAATTTTGTTTACAAAGGTCTTAAATTTTTTCTTGTCCTTTCATAGGATTAAATAAATGCCATAAGGTCACAAATAAATATTTGTTGTGTGTGTGACTTTACAATTTACTCTGTTTGGTGTGACTGGACTGGACTGTGGAGTGTTTGTGGTGCACGAGCTCTGGCACAAATCAGTCAGTTGTTAGGAAACAAAACAAAACGTCTCTGACGTGCTACTAACAGCTACAGTTTGCTCGTCACCTCAGAATGGGCAAGTGTCTGAAGTTCAGAAGGCCAGAGATAGGGACAAGTTGGCGGACGAGGCTGAGGGCAGTGGCGCAACAAGCTGATCGTGTGTGAGTCAGTAACACTGGCAAGTGCTAATGAAACAGCGGAACTGGAAGACCCGCTGCAGGTCCTTGGTCAGTGAACATTACAACAGCAACGGGGAGACAGTGCATAAGACGTGGATAGTGTCTGTGTAGGGTAACGGCGTTATAGGGTAACGTTATGTGAATGGAAACATCCAACATGCTAACGCACATCAAACTTACATCACCCAGATGGGCCGATCACCGGGACGAGGAAAAAACAAAATGGAGCCCAACTACTTATCCCCGCTGCTTTCAAGCCAATGCTATCTAATAACGTTACTATATTTCAAGCAGCCTTTACGTGCAAAAACAGAAAAGGATGAATAATCACTGAAGCAATTGGCATTTACATTAGCATATCAGATTACCAGTGTTGGGCAAGCTACTTGGAAAATGTAGTGAGCTAAGCTAGCTACTCTACATTATATGAAGCTTCACTACACAGAAGCAACAACCCAGTGAAATGTAGCAAGCTAAGCTACAGCAACGTGGCAAAAGTTTTAATTTTTTTATATATACACAGTAAAGGCCTAATTTATATTAAATCAACTTCATTCCACAGTAGCAATAGAAGAAAGACTAAAAACCTGCTCCAAACCGTGTGTGTGCATGAGAGAGCTAAAACTCTCCTACTTAGTGCCATATCATTGCAGCTAAATGTATTTCCTCATGCAACAAACGGAGAACCATTGTTTGTAAAAAGTTACTTAATTATCACATTATTATCATTAATATTGTTTCTTATTTTAATAATTGTTCCTTTGAAAAATTCTACGGCTTGTCAAAAAGCAAGACATATTTTAATGTAACATAGGCCTACATTGTGTTTTTGTTGTTTTTATTCTTTATAATGTAATTTCATTGTTAATTAATTATATATTTTTATATGTGAATTTGTGCTCTGGCAACATTGCAACCTAGACAACCTAAATATTCATGGCAATAGGCCTGAGAGAGAGAAAGAGAGAGATTATTAAAAAGTACTCAGACATTAAAAAGAAGATCCACATCCACAGTGCTATCTTGTTTTGTAGTTTCTTTTGAGCCTCCTGGGATCATTTTGGACAGTAGAAGGGAGTAAAGAGTGAATTTCACCAAATTTAGTCAAAATCTGATCATGTGAAAACAAACTGCACAGTGCCCTTTCTTTATTCATTACTGTTGATGTTTAACTCTGAACACATCAGAGGTAAGAAATCAGTGTTTATCTGCTGTCTGCCCTGCAGCTGTTCCTGTGGCCATTGGAGGTAATAGCTGATGTGAAGGTGGATGGAGAGACCCTGGATGAGGCTCTGACCAGAATCAATGCAAACATCAGCAGTTTGCCACAACTCACCAGCTTCTCTCAGGGTAACATTTCAGTCTTTTCTGGTGTTTCCATTCACAAATGGGGCTTTTGTAACAATGTGTGTGGCAATGCTGGATCTGTGATTGAAACATTGCCTAGTATTAGATAACTTTGTAGATTACAGTCAGTGTCCATTCCAGTGGCCCTGCACCTTTATGTGATGTGCATTAAATTCTCCGTGGTTAATGTAACGTCAGGTCACGGACGTGTGTGTGTGTGTGTGTGTGTGTGTGTGTGTGTGTGTGTGTGTGTGTGTGTGTGCAGCACAAACGATATGTAACCATAAAGAGCATTTCTTCAGTTCTAGTACAGTGGGGGAAATAAGTATTTGACCCCTTGCTGATTTTGCAGGTTTGCCCACTTACAAAGAATGCAACGATCTATAATTTTAATCATATGTACATTCTAACAGTGAAAGACAGAATCCCAAAGAAAATTCCAGAAAATCACATCATATGAATTTATAAAAATTGATAACCATCTGCTGAGGAAAAACAAGTATTTGACCCCCTGTACAAACAGCATGTTAATATTTTGTAGAAAAGCCATTATTGGCCAGCACAGATGTCAAACGGTTTTTATAGTTGGTGACAAGGTTTTTGCACATTTCGGCAGGGATGTTGGCCCACTCCTCCCTGCAGACAGCCTCCAAATCATTCAGGTTCCGAGGTTGTCGCCTGGCAACTCGAATTTTAAGCTCCCGCCAAAGATTTTCAATTGGATTCAGGTCTGGAGACTGGCTAGGCCACTCCAGAACTTGATGTGCTGCTTCTTCAGCCACTCTTTTGTTGCTTTGGCGGTGTGCTTAGGGTCGTTGTCGTGCTGAAACACCCATCCTCGACCCATCTTCAGCTCTCTCACTGAGGGAAGGAGATGTTGGTCCAGAATTCCACGATACATGGCCCCGTCCATCCTCCCCTCAATACGATGGAGTTGTCCCGTCCCCTTGGCTGAAAAGCACCCCCAAAGCATGATGTTGCCACCACCATGCTTGACGGTGGGGATGGTGTTCTTTGGGTTGTACTCGGTGTTCTTTGCCCTCCAAACACGACGAGTTGCGTTGAGGCCAAAAAGTTCTATTTTGGTCTCATCTGACCACATCACCTTCTTCCAGGCCTCTTCTGAGTCGTCCAGGTGGTGAATGGCGAACTTCATGCGGGCCTGTACATGTTTCTTCTTGAGCAGGGGGACCTTGCGTGCGCTGCAGGATTTCAATCCATGACGGCGTGGTGTGTTACCAACCGTTTCTTTTGTAACTGTGGTCCCAGCTGCCTTCAGTTGATTCATCAGTTCCCCCCTTGTGGTTTTGGGATGATTCCTCACCGTTCGCATGATCAGGGACACCCCACGAGGCGAGATCTTGTGTGGAGGCCCAGACCGAGGGAGGTTGGCGGTGGTGTGGTGCTTCTTCCATTTCCTGATAACTGCACCGACAGTTGATCTTTTCTCTCCAAGTTGCTTTCCGATTCTCTTGTAGCCCATCCCAGCCTTGTGCAGATCAACAATCTTGTCCCTGATGTCCGTAGAAAGCTCTTTGGTCTTGCCCATGGTGCTGATGTTGGATGCTGGTTGTTTGGGTGTTGACAGGTGTCTTTTATACAGGTAACGAGGTGAGGCAGGTGTATTTGATGTAGATAATTGGTTGGGATTGGGGCTGTGTCTTAAAGAAAGACTAACTGGCTTGTAGGAGCCAGAATACTTGCTGTTTGGTAGGGGGTCATATACTTGTTTTTCCTCATCAGATGGTTATCAATTTTTATAAATTCATATGATGTGATTTTCTGGAATTTTCTTTGGGATTCTGTCTTTCACTGTTAGAATGTACATATGATTAAAATTATAGATCGTTGCATTCTTTGTAAGTGGGCAAACCTGCAAAATCAGCAAGGGGTCAAATACTTATTTCCCCCACTGTACATGAGGAGTTTTTTTCTGCGCAGACTCCCTATATTTACATATTAAAATATCTGTTGTGGAAAAAACATCCCCTTTCCTCAGGATTACTCTTCGCAGGTGCATGAATAAATGTCAAACCTGAGCAGCTACTGTGCTGCTGTGTCACACACAGTTCTGTACAAGGTTCAGTAAGTTGGACATTGAGCTGACATTGGACATGTGGTTTCCAGATTATCCATGTCTGGCAGAATACAGTGATGGAAAGTACTACCGGGCCCAGCTTATGAAGTTCAGCAGCGTGGAGCCAGTCATGATCATGGTCAAACACGTCGACTTTGGCTCTGATGACACTCTGCCCACCAGCAAGTATGAAGATTAATCTACACTTACAGCCATGCTAGCTGCTCCATGAGTTTGTACTATGGACTAAGTCATTCTTAGGCTGATGGGAATGTCATTAGTTTTCCGGGGCTTTGGGTCATAAATTAAAATATTTAGATAAATTGAAATTTTGACCTGATTGTGGTAGGGCAGATGGCTAACGGTCTTCGACAGTCTACCATCATAACATCATGATTTAAATGCCCTGTAGACATCGTCCAACCCCTAGGTTGTGGCTCTAGTGGAGTCGGGATCACCAAAGATTCATCCTTTGCAAACTACAAATGTTTGTACAAATTTCTTTGCCAATTCAACAAGCAGATGTAAAAGGGAAAACTTCCTCCATAAATTTACCCCAAGGGGCTTTACAATATGTACAGCATACGACAGCCTCTGGTACAGGGAAGTCTGAGTCTAAAGAGAGGACAAGGAGCAGAAATTGGAGTGAGAGAGGCACACAAACAGAGGGTTAGAGAGATGCAGAGACTTTCAGAAGGTTGACAGTATTCTTATCAGCAGCGCTCGAAATGAATAATATCTATCTATTAATAAAAATAGCACCTACAAAGAGTGAGCAAATGAAGTAATGTGAATTACTGGAACAAAGTTAGCTATTATTATTATGTAGAATAGAAATAGAGAACTTCAGTTTGGAACAAAGGGACAACAAAAGCAGATTTCAAAACAGTTGCAGGACAAACATGGACTATAAGTACTAGGCTTAAAAGATTATTTGAGACTTAGACCAGTCTGCCTGAAGGTTAACGGTAACAAGTACATGGTAAAAAAAAAAAAAAAAGCAGCTAATTAAAGGTTTAGGCGAAAATTGTTTTAAATTTGTATTTAAAGGCCACCATTTAATGTCAACAGAGAGGTTATTCTGGAGGAAGGGGGGCACGATAACAAAAGAAAAGACAAAAGACAGAGCTGAGCAAACAACAGACATTGCCTTCCCTAGGGAAACAACCTAAACCGATTTTTCTTGCCAAAAAAAGAGATAAAACTGCTGATAATAAATAAATAAATAAATAAATAGTTAAAAACTGTGTTGTTGATGCATGCCAATAGTTTAGATTTAACCTGATAAAGGCAATTCATAATACTAAACCCACAGCAGGGCTGAACAATTAATCGAAATCTTCTTGAAATCACGATATGTCCTACTGCAATTTTGAAATTGCAGGACTTGCAATATTTGTTTGTTTCATTTTAAATGAAATATTGTTGTGCTTCAGAGATGATTTTTGCAAGGAGCTGTACTAATCAAAGATGATTAAATATGTCTTTCTGAGCATAATTATTTAAAAATGATCATTCTCTCCAATATTGAATATCATCAGTCAAATTAGATAATTATTCAAAATTATTCAGCCCTTATCCGTGGTATGATAGAAGCAAAAAGCGGAAACAAGTTGTGCACACAAGGCTGTCATATCACCTTTTAAATAGATTAGATTAGAACTGTGTTGTCATTGCACACAGTAAAAGTACTGAGACAACAAAATGCAGTTTACATGGTGTTGGAGTTGATATGGTGAACAGTTGCTTATTTATTAATTCAATTTCAATTTTGCATCTGTCACTTCCTCTCAGGCTGCGTCATATGCCGGCCGAGCTGCTGCGGTTTCCAGCTCGGGCGCTCAAGGTCAAAGTCGCCGGCTTCAAGGCTCCAAGTGCCAAAAGGAACGAAGACATGCTGCCCTACAGCCCCGGGTGGAGTGTCAAGGCTGCAATGCACATGATTGACCTGTTACACAGCAGCATCACAGCCACTGTTGTGGTAATTCAGAATTCATTCAGTGTTACTCACCAAAAGGCATTATGTGCATCTTTGAGGTCTAACAAACACGATAAAATGATTTCCTTGTAATAAATTAAACATTGGTAAAGCTTTCTTAAGTTTTTGAATTGTTAACATCCCTGTTTACTGGCTTCGCTGGTCCATGGGCGAGTTTCTTGCCGCAATATCGCCACCTGCAGATTACTGCAATAGTACGAAATGATTGGCTGTAATGCGGATAGGTCATAAAGAAACTGTACCATAGTGCTACCAGAGGTCAAGAACTCCACACGATACCTTTCATTAACTGTTGATATTAACATTTTGATAATAGCAATATCAGTACTATTGTTATTAGTATTAGCACTTTTATTATCAGGTGTGTGTATATACACTTTACGCACTGAGCTTGTAGTTCATTTGAAGGATCCACAGCTGTGACCAGTACTGTACTAATTGTTAAACTACACGAGGGGTGATGATTTCTAGTCTTACATATAGTGTGGCTTTTAATTATATTATTTAATGTCGGTGATGTCGGTCTGATTTAAGTGAAGTTTAATAAGACAACATGAAGAAACAACTTCAGTCAAAATTTTAACATTTAAAGAGCTACAGCATATCTCTATTGCAAACACCCAGTTTACATCCAACCTTTGGCCTCACAGACAAGAAGTCACAAGACATCTTCAAGTATCTTAACTGCCCTCATGCGCCCTTCTTGTCTGTTCAGGCCCGGGAACCGGAGCTCACGGTGCTGCTGTTCAATGAGGACGGAGAGTTGGTCCATCTGCCTCTGGTGAGCAGCGGACTGGCTGAGCTTGAGTGACTCCTCAACCCACAGGGTACAGTTCATTTTTCACCTTTATTTTATATATCAAGGTGCTTTTTGAAATGTGGGTAACTCTGATGTTGTTTTACTGATTTGTTTTATAAAGCTCAGATTTAAACATCACATTATGTCCCCAAATTTATCACTTAGAAACACAATCACTGCTAATTAGGGCTGCAACTAATGATTATCTTCGTAGTCGACTAATCTGTTAATTATTTATTCAATTAGTCGACTAGTCACGATTCATTTGTCAACCCCTAACCATAACCCTAATTAAACCATTTAACTAATTAAATATCTTTCAAGTGAATTACTGGTCTCCAACACACTGCTTAACTAGGTAATGTTACCATTACGAGGTTTACTATTCAGAATGAACAGTAGTATCAACGCCGGGGGAAGACAAGACAGCGTAGGATACTCCTATAATTCACTGATTTACTAATGCACTGAACGTGTTTGCTAACACAACTAAAAGAGAGTTCTCTTAGCAGTACCGGAGGCTGCATTTTCAGGACCACAATCACATTTGTAGGACCCTTGTTTTCTTTGATACTGCTAGCTGGCTGGCTAGTAGACCAGGCGACCAGTTAACCCTACAGCTCCGCCTCACCCCCGACATGCTAGCTGACAGGGTTAACCGCCTTTGTGATGCTGTACATTGCCACCAATCCACTAGATGGCGCTGTCACACAAGAACAATGGTGCTAGACATGCGGTGCTGAAAATATACATACTACTCGCACGAAAGCTTCTTCTTCGTGAGTAGTCTTACAGTCAAGCAGTCATAGCAGACAGTGGAGGCAATACTGGTCTTAGCATTCCATGTAGAGCGTTGCAGTTAGAAATGAACAGGCAGAAATGTTCTTAATAAGAAGATTGCTCTCTCTCCCTTAAACAGCATCTCTGTAACGACACGTCGACAATGAAATTCTATGTCGACAAATTGTTGCAGCCCTACTGATCAGATGTACTGCATGCAAAGTGACCAGATTACATCAAGACAATAGTTGCTAAAAATAATGTTTAGACAGTACTTTTTCTCACTACTTTGACATTTTATACTCAAAATTAGCATAAAATAAGCAAGGATTAATTAAGTTGCGGCCCTAGAGCTAAACCGGGCTAGATACAAAATGTTGCCATTAAACAAGTGTAACCAGCTGTTTGACATTATTTAAGCTGTTGTTAATAAATCCCCCACCTCCTCTTTCCCCAGGTTTCCCCACGGATATCCTGTTGTGTTAACATCTAAATTTTATTCTGTTTGGGCTATTTGACTGCTGTTCTTAGTTTTTACATGTTAAGAAGACATTCTTTATTATTCCCACTAGGGGAAAGTACGTATTTATTTTTTGCAGAAAATGTGCAGTTGTGTACATTCAAGGTAACCCAAAAGAGAAGTGATTTACTTTAAGTTTGGCTGTTGTGTTTGAGGGAGCTGCATTGATATAGCACTTTATTTTCTAGCCATTCGACTCATGGGAGACAATCTTGTCTGTGTGACAAATTAAAATCTTCCAAAGCTGTCAAACCTTTCTGTGGTGTTTTCTTTGAGTAAATCGTTAAAGCTCTTCTCAACAAGATGCACAGACTTTACACCTCAACAGCAATCATCAGAACAAGAGTCACAATTCTAAAGAAAAAAGATAAAATTTATTTTACAAAAAATACAGTGAGCTAAGAAAATAAATATGTATTTAACATTTTTACAAATTAAAGTAGTTGTAAAAACCTCTCTCACACACACTCTCACACACACGTAGTTCTACTTGAATGTACTAA